TGTGGCGTAATAACCTAACTGCTGTGTGAAAATGACTTGCTTTATAATAAAATTCAAATATCTAATAACCTAACAGCTGTGTGAAAACTACTTGCTTTATAAGAAATTCAAATTGCTTTTTTTCTTTTTTGGACCCTTGAATGCAGAGACGGAGTCCCAGGCATTTGGAAGTTGAGATTTGGTATAGCTCTGACTCACCTGATATCCTGAAAGGGGATGAAATCCTTGTCAACAAAGGCCTCATTTATTTTGGTCAAGACCTCCATCCCTTCGGTGACTTCTCCAAACACAGTGTGTACTCCATCTAGGTAGTTCAGGTTCTCCCCAGCGGTAATGAGGAACTGCGAAGAACAAAACTAATATGGTAAATCCGTCTAGTCAATCATCTGAGATCATGTTTTCCTCATGCGCTATGATAATAACACCAGACTTTTCATAACTTCACGTGTTTTTATTCTTCGAAGAAACAAATACTAAGCGTCTTTCCATAACCGGTGGTTTCCTAAAGTCCCTCCTCTGGAGGTTTAATCCAGAAAACAACACTGTGAATGTCTGTCTGCCTCACCTGAGATCCATGCTGATCAGTTCCATTGTTCACCATGGACACGGTCCCCCTCTTCCTGTGCTTAATGCGAGGCGTCTTCTCTGCATCGAAAAAACGAGCCTGGTCTCCGTACAGTTTGCTGACATCACAAAGAAGAGTCTAGCTGTGACCGAGTTCAACTCACAATGGTAAAAACGGCAAGAACTATTAGCGAAATGGCTGACCTATAGATAGATTCTCCTCCACGACCCGTTCCAGTGGGATCTCCAGTCTGCACGATGAAATCTCTCTGAAAGTGAGATCAATGTGGAATTAAAGGCATTCAGCAAGGAGATTCATCATTAATCAGTGTGCAAATGGAATAACAGGACATGCTGTGTTTTATATATATATATTTATTGATATCATATATCTATTATTTTTATTTATATGTATTTTTCAATTCATTTTGTAACACCATAACTATAGAGGGTGATGTCTAAAAAAAGACACATTAAAAATGCACCCCACAGCCAATCCAATGAATTAGGCCCAAATTGTAAGAAAAGATCTACAGTCATTTTGTATTTTTACGCTTTACGAGACTAACATTTCTAAACATTTCTAAAGTAACTCTGGTTTACATACTGAACCCTCAACTTCATATTTAGAAAAGGAACTGGAGTTCCCATTATGAGCTGCAAACAGGATCTTTCTCCATAGCGCCCCCATCAAGCCAGTCACAATTATTTCGTGAAGCTTTTGAACAAATACGAATTTAACTCAAACATTTGCTTTAGAAGGACTTTACCTGCACATTGTGGATGAGGCAGTAGTTGTAATATTTTATCTTGCATAATTTCAGAAAGTTTAGGCAAGCTGTGAAAGAGCAAAGATAGGTGGTTACCCCAACAACACTACAACTTAACGCATTCTTTTCAATAACTATCTCGTTTTAGGCGTTAGGACATTAGCATTAGCTTATTCTAGTGTTTAAATAACAGTAATTGTAGCAAGAAAAGGCTCGATAAACAACTGAATAGGTAATAAGCTAACAGCGCGAGCTAACAGCACAACATTCGTAAACTCAGCCCAAAATTGGAATATATTAATATTAATAAATATTAATCTCTCCAAGAAAACAGCTGCTGTAATGTGGTGTACTAAGTCTCACTTTTAGGCCTTTCCTCCGTAAACAAATCAATCACAATATCACCAAGAGTGGTTTCAAGGAGCACCGCCATGATGACGTCCGAGATTCTCGCGAGAATCCCGTTAGTCAGCTCCAAGCGCATGCGCAGCCAGTACGTATTTACCCAGTTGTTGGAACGATCTTGATGCTTTTAAGAGAATTCGGACCAAATAGAAATGACAGGACCAGTAGATTGTGTTATACTTCTTCTTTTAGTCTCTGTGACTCATGCAGAGTTGCCTGTCAAGCAGCTGAACACGGTAAGGTCCAAACACGGTGTTATGTTGATATTAGCCTAGCATTAGCTTTCTGACCGTTAACTAGTGAAAAAACTATAGGGCAGAAATGGCTCTCGATTGTGGTTTCTCATCTTTTTTATGACACTGATTGACTCCGACAGGAAAATATCCTAATAAACGTGACAGCAGGGACGCTGACGGATACCCAACTTCAAGATCCTAACAACTTGCAGGTAAACAGATGTAAATGTAAAATGACTGGACAGGCTACCTACATCTTTCTCCATCCTTGATGTGGTTCTTCCCTTTGCAGATCAATCTGAACATATCGGTGGGCGAAGAGCAGATTCTGGTGAATGACATTCCTGTGGAGCTGTCTGGAGTCACCAGGTTCAACTGCCAGGCTCTTCTCTGTGAGTTTAAGCTCTTAATATCACAAATATTAAGCATTGATATACGTAAGAAGATAGCCCATCACTTATTGCTATCATATAGGTTGCTATTTCCCCACAAAATCTGCAAATTGGCATTAAGAGCCTGTATCCCTGTCTATTATTATGGAAAAAGGCTTTAGCAATACCAAATGTGTATTGTTCAGATCTCCCCCGACACTTTTAAATCAGATCCCTGACTTAAACGTTGAATCCAAATTGAGAATTTGCACTAAAGGAGTTTTGATCGTTTTTGGTGGATTTATTCTTTATTGTATGCTGTTTTTTATGACTCCAGTTGTGAAATGCTGTTTGTTTTGTTGTTTATTTCCAGTGGACAGCATCAATGGAAGCAGCAAGTTTGAATCCGGGGACGTGGTGTCCACTGTCACCCGGGTGATGGTCAGCCAAAACCGTCTGTACAGCGACTCAGAGGAGGTGGTCGCCCTGCAGGTGTTCAGCGAAGTAATCGAAATGGAAGGGAAAGAGGTGAACCCCCTTCTCCTGCTTGTTAGATCTTGTGATATATACTCAATCTACAGTGTGCGTGCAACACTTTTTAGCTACCTGGGTCAATACATTTGGCAGACGTGTGATTGTAGAGTTGGAATGGTGACTATAGCTGCTCCCAACTTTTTCTCACTGGTTTATGAAAGTGCAAATATCCAACTGATGGTTCCAAACGTTTATTAAAGGATTTGCCGTCATGCAAACGCCCAAGACCACCGTGAACACTGCAAAATACGCGGTGGAAGATATTCATCAATAAAACCGTCATGTTACCTTACATGAATTATCAAATGAAACTTATTAAACAAAATATAAATTCTTTAAATTGTTCATACCGTATGCCCCTCCAACCAGAAGGTTAGGAGTTGCTAGAAGTCCATTTCTTCCATTTTTCAGTCCTTTGCCTTTTTTCTTGCACACGCAGACTAATTATAAATAAACTCAGAACTTCCTATCAAAGGCATCACGTGATCAAGTGAAGAGCCAATCGGTGACGTCTCCATAGGACATATTTTTCCCAAAGTATGTACATATTAATTGAAAAATACACAAAGATATGAAATAGATATTAAAAACATATTCATATTCACAAAATGAAATAAATTCACACAGAAAAAATGCTTATGTAACCGCGTTAGCTACAGTGACTGTGAGCTAAACAGCATCCAGCTCTTCCATGCTAAGCTGCAAAATGGTCTGAGAATCTCCAGAAAAAAACCTGCGGTGACCCTGTTGCTATGCCCCGTTGCCTTGACGATGTCATGCAGGTCCAGCAACCGGAGATGTGTGAAGTGAAAATCCTGATGAGCCCGGACTTTCAGAAGCTGGCCCAGTTCACCAACGTCTACCCCATCGGGCACAGCGAGATCTTCAGGGTTCCCAGAGAAAACGACGTGCTTGTGACCGATCCACCAAACTCTAGAGGAGGTTTGTTCGCTGTTTTTGGTAGAAGAAAAACTACCTGAACCAGGACAAAGTTTAGTTTTTAAACTTA